TAAATTCGCTTACTGAACAGGAAAAATAGGTGCTCAAATACCACAGTGATGACTGATAGTGACCCTAGCTTGGAAAATGCCGTGCTTTGAAAGATTAATATATACAAATATTCAGAAAAGCTTTTCAAGTCAATATTTGATTTGGGTGTCAAGTGCTATGCTTGTTTGCACTTTTTACCAAAGATACATCATCTCTGTCTTCCAGTACTGATACATACCTCTGGTGGCAAACCTGAAAAAAGAGTATTTACAGAAGGAGCAAAGCTCATCCACTTCCCTCCAGAGATGATCATTTTAGAAACTTTGGAAATCAGGTGGCTAATAGACACACAAGGAATAATCTTGTGAGACCAGATTTGTTTCTGGATCTGCTGGATACTTCCATTCCATGCTTTGTTTTTAATAAACGTATAATGTGCACAAACCACTAAGCACACCTCGATCAGACAGGGAACTAGCTATGCCCAGGTTAGTTACATCTCATGAGCAGAAGATAAGCAAGTCTCAGTTTTTCTAAACTTTTGCTGTGTCTGAAATCTGAAAGCTAGTTATTATTTTAAACCCAAGCTGTGTTTTACTCACTTTAGGGTTTTTTTTAAAAAGCTTTTCACATGTAAAAAACCTGCAGCTGTTAAGCTCTCTGAAGAATATATAGGCTACAAGTACGGGCAAATCAGGATAAATTGCAATAAAAATCTTGCAGCGTGCAAGGCTTTGGGCTTTTGGAGAGTGGTATTTTTAGACGGAGGTCTGAAGAATTACTCTAGGACATCAGGCTAGACAGCCAGGGCAACAGAAGGGGAAAATGTCAGTGCGAGAGGCTACGGACAGCTTATGGAGTTGCAAGTGCCCAAATGTGATTCTTTCCAAGCAAATAAATTTGCAGTCTGCATCTGTTCATGGGTTTTCACTGAAGATGAGAAAATCATCTCTCCATATGCAAGATACAACCCAGTGCATTAAAAAAAGGCACAGAGCAGTCTTTTCAGATAAATTAAAGCAACTGCAAAAATATTGATGCCTATGAAACATCGAGAGCTTTTGCCTCCTAGGTCTTACCAAAGTTTCTCTGACAAAGAGACATAAAAATAAAATTTAAGTTGAAAAAAAAAAAAAAAACATTTGACACAGGGGTACTGGGTTCCAGAATAAGATTATTCACTGTTTTTAAGAAATTACAAACTCTCCCTTTCCAAAATACTCTTCAGCAAGCAAACAGCTACTGCAAGCTTTTAACCTGGACTCTGTCCTCATCCACCTTTTAACAACCTAATTTCTTAAAGGTCTGAAAAACTTTTCTGTTAGAAACTACACAGTATAAAACTGTGAGACAACCTAATTTTTTATTTTTCTAAAGCATTCAATAGCATAGCAAAAGTTTCTTCTTAACTTTTTCACTTTTCAGAGAATAGCCAGAACTGCCACTGCAGTGACTACAGGGAGCGGTACAAAGGCAACTTGTGCATAAGCACACTTCAAAGTCTGGGATGAACAAAAAGTCAGCGTGGTGCTAAGTGACATCATTAAAAACGAGCCCCAAGTTGCAGGACAGCCTAGTTTCTTCCAGGGAGGAGCATTAAATCTAAGGATGCCAACGCCAAGCTGCCTTTCCTCAAGAGCAAAGTTAGAGGTCAGAGAGCCAAGGCTACTTTACCCAGCATCGTAAACGTAAGTATTTACAATCTGTAAATTAGGAAGACTTTCATAGTTCACAAATGAATTTAACTTTTTCTTACACTGGTTCCCAAAATGCTGTCTCTTCTCTTATTCTTGTGTGCTGCATTTAAATTGGCTTCTCAATTCCTGAATTAAATTCCTTTAACAAGATTCAGGCAGAGTGCTAGCTAGTTAACAGACTGTTAGTACAGAGCAATTTTGAAAGCTATCTTTGAAACCTATTATTCAACTGAGACAACTGTCATTTTATTATTTTACTGTTACTCAGTTTTCAAAAGGCAGTGAAATACTGACCCCCTTATCCTATGTGAGAAAAATGAGAAGGAAGCCCTTTGGGACACAGCTTTGGAACAGTTTCTCTACAAGATACAGAGCCAGCAGGCAAATCTGATTTTTGTGGTTATTGCACCTTTTGGTCAAATTTGGCTGCCTGGACTTCAGGAACCACAAAGCAAACAATGCGCTGCTGCCAAGAAGGGAACATTTCAAACTCAAATTACCCAAATCACGTGCTTGCATCTCTTTACAGCAACTCAGAGGGCCCATAAACAGCTCTGTGCTGCAGGAGCAAGAACTCCCCATGCTAAGCCAGGGCAGAACCAGCACTGCCACTCCTCCCGTCTAGCCAAAACCTGCAGCAGTTTGGTGTCAAAAAAATATATATATCACAGTCCCCTCTAGTGGCTGGTTGACCAGGAGAGCAGCACGGACTCCTCCAGGTCACAGGACAAAGGGGTACTAAATCCAAGGTGCAAAACTTCTCACTAATTCAGAGGGGGATCTGCTGAGTTACCTAGTGCAGAGCAGGTCTCAATGGGCGTTTCTTCCCATCCTTAGCACGAAAGGAAAGGACACATTCTCATCTCCATCTCAAACACAGGAGCCTGTCAATCACGGCATGATACACAACACAGCTCCATTCTGCACTGCAGCTGTTTTGTCACATTTGATGTCTTGAGTCACTCGGCGGCATTTCTGAGGGTAGTTACGACAAACTCCCTGGCACACTTATCTTCCACTGAGAAGAGGTAGAAGCAATCACTTCTCATCTCACTAAGTGGAACATCTTCTGCTCGGCTCTTACACAATCTTTTATTGTTTCTCTGGGTACCTGCAGTCAAGTTTTCTGCCTGAGAGCAGAATCATATGGGAACTTGCAAACATCCTTCTCCATTCTGGCAGAGAGACACCGAGACATCGCAAGTGCAACCCGCTCCGACCTGTCTTCCTTCACAGTAAATTTGACATCGCATACCACTCCGCAGTGGCTCTCTATCCCCTTGAGACAAGGGCTCTGCAGGAGTTATTCCCCTTCTGTCGAAGCTAAGCATATAGATTAATCCATCTACATTCACAGAAGAGGTTTATAAGCCATCTAGATCATGCTACTCCATAGCTATAGTTACATTTTAGACAGCAAAAGCAATAAACAAGCCTTCAAAAAAGTTGTTGCAGCAGCGTATCATTTCAGCAGAACCTTTTGATGCCAGTCAGAAATATTGTTTAATGCATACTTTCAGGGGAATAGTCTTTCTTGAAAGACAGACTGTTTGGCTGAATAGAGGTTCTGTAAAACTCATTTGCAGCTTGGCATTTTCACACAAGGTAAGGTCAGTAAAAACCACTCTCACATGCCAGTGAGGACAGCCACCCATTGCTTTTCAGACAGCCCGTGGATTCTGAAGGAGCGGGGAGTAAGGGCTCACCCAGCCACAGCGGGAGGGAAGCTCGTGGCCAGAGCAGCACAATTACTCCTTTGTAATTATGCCAATAAACTTGGTGCATGGACACCACATGCCCACTGAAGAGGTGGCAGAGCTATGGCAGAATAGGCGCTGGTAGTGTTATGCCAGTCAACTTCTGTAAACAAGTTCTAAAAATAATTTTCTAGATAAATTAGGCTTCCAACATGAAGAAGGGAGGTTTCAGACAAGACCTGCTTCAAAGTATTCCCACTACTGCATGAGGAACAGCCGTATCCTGCTGCCAGGGCAGGGCACAGCAGCACCACCTTCCGCCTTCTGTTCTGTCAAACAATGTTAGTTACTTAAAATTCAGAATAAAATAACTTGGAAGTTATATGACGATGGCATTTACACTGAAATGTGGCAGGCCAAAAGTGAAGAATGGATACCTTTGAAAAATTAAAGATTTTCATTGCTGAGACAGCAACTCTGAAGAACTGGACTAGCTTGACGCACCCCAGACTATGGGGCAGTTGCTCACCACAGCCTGTAAGGCTTTAAAGGCTTTTAAAGCCTGTGAGGCTTTAAAAAAAGTGAGAAAAATATATTGAGCAAGAGTCAGAAACTAGTTCTACTGATGGTCGATAAGTCTTATTCTTGAGTAATTTAAATCTGTCAAGTTGCGTGAAAGTATTCCCGAGGAGCCGAGGAGCCACATGGACTCAATTATCAAACACTGCGATACTGAGAGAGCAGAAACACACGAGCCAGGACCTGACTGTTCCCGGGCAGCTGCTGAGTCCAGCACACGCGCCAGCTGATGCCTCAGCGCACGCCCAAGCGCGCAGGAGGAGTTTTTGAAGTTTATTCCTGGTGGCACGTTTCTTGAACAATACCTAGAGATGTTTGCTCCTTGCCATTTAGCATCGACAGGCACAAAACTCTCATGCGAAAACAACGGCAAGAGGACAAGGTTCCCAGGGGATGAACTGATGCTGCTCTTTGCAAATGCACTACCTGTTGGAAAACTAATGACATTTAATGCATTTTCGTTAAGACGGGTCAGTCCCGTTTAAGCTGATCTTCCCACAGACGAGCTTTAGTCTTGAGTAACACCAGTCTGAGCGCCTTTAGGGTTTTATTAGAAGAAGGTGGCAGGGATCAGGTTTGTTGTTACTGTTTTTTATTTGTCTGTTGTTTGCTCTTTACATGCACGCAAGCAGGTTTTCATTCTAAAAGTCTTCACATAAAAGGTCTGTTTATATTCACTGGTATTTTACTGAAAAAAACCCTTCAAGCAATGGGTCAAAACGTACAGCCCGACAGTCATGCCACAGTCTCCCTTACTCTGTATCGCCATCTCCAATTAACAAAGCAAGTAAAGGTAACAGCATAATATACTCACATTGTATAGTATCTAAAACTGCACGGGCTATGTAAGAGCAGCTGCTCCCATTTGATAAGCTTACATTTTTAATTATTTAAGTATTAAATTGTGTTTAAATTCATTAAAATAAAATTAAAAAGCAAATTTATTACAGAATTTGCCATTTGTTCAACAGGATTGAAAAATGTGTTTTGCCTAGTCTTGCCTTAATTTCACTAGTGATAATTTAATTTTAATTTGTACCATCTTACCTCAATCAATTTGTTGGCATGTTCACGGAAAACCTGGGCATATTCTTTAACTTCTTTTTCATTCCCATTCTTGGCAGCTTCAATCAATACTAAAAGTGGAACATTTGTTTCCAGAAAAGAGTCTGATACATGGTCCATAACAGCTTTGCGGAGCTAAAATAAAAATAAAAGAATGAGTTATTTTTCAGTAGCGTTCCACTGCTGTTTTCCTTTTACTGTATGAATACGTAAAGCTTAAGTACTTTTGCCGTTGATCCTTTTTCCTTTGTGCGACCAAGGCTTTCCCGGCACTAAGTCTTGTCTATACACTTTTTGCTTCAATTTAAATTAAATCTCCTTAAAAAAATGGATTAGTTATATAAGTGCAAGTCACCAGTTTGGCCACAAATATTGATTTAGCAGCTCATATTGGTTTTGTCTGAGTAAATTTGCTGCTTTCCCTCAGCTGATTAAACAACATGCTGATTTAACTTTTTTATTTTTCTACTAGAATAAAAATATTTTTCAAACTTGATCCATATTCACATTTACTTAAAAAGGGGAATATATTGCTTTAAAAGCCAAACAGACAAAAGACTGATGTTACATAAATGCATTCCTCAAAGAAAGTAAGCTCTCTGAGATGAATACCAGCAGAATTATAAAACATACCTGATTATGTTCAAAATCCATAAAATTTGAGTTGGTTTTTGGGGTTTTGTTTGTTTGCTTGCTTTTAGTGTGTGTTAAATCTTTCTTGCCACAAGGATGATTAAGAATCCAACACCTTTGTTACACAGTTAACAGAGGATTACATTTCCACACCACGCTTCCCTGTGAACTGGGCACTGGAAGCTTCTGGCTTTTAATTCACTAAATACAAGCAGGCAAGCCCACTGGAAACAAATCAACAGATAACACATTTCCAAGAGGG